GTCTGTGGCAAACACAGGCACACACATTCATCATTTCACACACATGTGACATGAATATTACTATAAACACGTAATAATAGTTGAGACTAGTTGGACTTGCCATGGTATAAATTATTTTCAAATTCATTATGTTCATTTTCACTCACCCCCTAAACCCAATCGATACAAATTTCAATTCAACTCCCATTCATTCCCCAACAAATATAGGTACTAATGTTAGTACCATTTAGAACTTTTGATATATATAGTTGGAAATTCATGTCGTAAATTTTTGGTACGAGTTTTTACACACCATTTGGCATATCCGCTCTCTCAAGGAGTACTCTATTCGCATCCGCACAGACCCAGCATTATCACACGTCCACGCGCCATTACAGACCACATAGGCAGGTTTGGTCAATTGGTATCCAACTAGGTAAATTGACTCAATGATTGGCTCGTTTGAGACAAACTGAATAAATGTTAGGTTATATTGTTTCTCCAACTATGGAGTGTTTGAATGTATGCTTATATCATCATTTTCGTGCTTCGCGCCCTCAAGAGAATACATATATTTTACAGTTTATAATTTATGCCAGTTTTTTTACTTTCGAGTCTAGCTTATTGATCGAAGTTAGGCTCGACTAGAAAGAGAGAAAAAACTAACTTAAAATTCATTCGAATGGCCATCAAATAAATAGAAATTATTGCAGCTGAGCTCGGCTACGATTCGAACATAGGTTCCTAGGGCAACACAAATCTTGCCAGACCACTTAGCATTCTGAACCAATAAGACACTCCCGAAGGTTTCACAAAACATATGTGTATACCAATCGCTACAACAAAAATCAGCTTTGAAAAGGACTGTTTTTAGAGTGAAAACAAATATCGGACCTTCATAAATTTGAATTTATTTCGCAGATTTGATTTTTATTGAAAAAAGTTTATAATTTATGTTCACTTCTCACAGTCTATAATACAATTCACAAACGATCTTTAAAATGTATGGAAATATATATTTAGAAAGGAAGACAGGTTAGGTGCAACACACTCCATTGAATTTGTTCAAAACGGAATCTTGAAATTCAAATGCAATTTTCGAATTACAGATGAAACATATTTTCCAAATTCAGGTTTTCCGTTGAATATTGGTATTTATAGAAATTTGCCATACTTACTTTACCATTTCAAATGTTACCGAGCGGTATGTCATGGCCTTAGTGAACCATGCTGAAGATTTTGTTTTGTTGTCGTTTTTATAGCCATTGCAAAATGTTTTTATATTTATTTGTTTGTTATTAAAAATGTTGGCAACTAACTTCTGGAATATGACGTTTAATTTCGTTTGAATCTTCTCAGAAATAAGCAATCAGCAGTCCCAATTGAAGATTAATATTTCAAAAAATGCCCTTCACGTTTTTTCTCAGTAATATTACCAACGACTGACAGTATACGTATAGATAAACAGCAAGAATTGCTATCAGTTCTAATCCTCTGTTTTGGTTACCTCACGACGAAACTCTCAATACGCCGATACACATCTCTTCTTCTACGTTTAGACCCACTGTACTTTCCTGATACTTTTCGAATAAGGTGAGCTTTGTTGCACAGTGCAGCATTTTCTGTGACGGAATAATATAGACCTATAATAATGTTAAACGTGTAATTGAGTGGAAGAAGTGGGTGCAAACATATATTTATCTCATTCTCCAGTAGCACCCCATTTCAAAACGTTCCTCTGATAATAGTTGCTAGAAATGAATGATGAGTTGCGATGCATTTGTTTTGTTAGCTTTGCATTGTACTAGGCCGCACTTTCAGCCTGATAAGTCATATGCCTACGAAATGTTTGCATAACAATTGACCGCTACCACCGTTAAACATCTCTTCGGCGAGACCTTAATAATGGGTGCTGAAATTAAATACAAACAAACTGTTTAAGAAAAAACAACAGTCCCCGACCACGACCACGAAGTAAGAAGTGTACAAAGCAGAATTACAGTTAATTGGTACTAATCAAAAACTAGCACAACGATGGAAATCATTTAGCATTTGCTCTTTAGACTTACTTAAAGTTCTTCTTGCATTTTTGTTACACTTCGTGCACGTCCAGCACGCCGGCTTTTTGGTATGGGGGAAAATCACGAATATCGATTGTCCAGCACAGTGCTACAAAACTTAGACAAATAATATTCTTATTTTTGGATCAACATGTTCCTGTAATCGGTCTGGTCAATTTAGCCATTCAAGTGCATTTTAAATGTGGTCCCTGGTGCGCCTTTGCATGTGCCGTTCAATTGTATTATGCCAACGCGTATGCCTATGAAAGACTTCTTCGCCCATTAAACTATCCATTATTTTTGTTAAACCCAAAATACTGTGATTGACATTTCCATAAGACTGTTCTGTGAAAACCGGTTACTTCGCGCATTCAACTTCTTATGCCTCTTTGTCTTGCTAATAAGCGAAAAAGAAAGCTTACCTGACGTTGTTGTTCGCATCGCATTCTCTTGTGCGGCTTTATAGGGGCTGCCATTGAAAAGCGTGATTTCCCCATGTAACGATTAAGAATAATAGCAGTATCAAATCGGACTACAAACAGTTTGCTCAATTGGAAAATCCAAGACAATTTCGGGGAACCAAAATGAATCTCTACAAATTTACGTATGTCCTACAGACGCTGGCATTATTACTTCTGGTACAAAGTCCCATAACGAGGACTGCAAAAAATACAAGCTACACATCCCTCGAACAGGCCATTGAAGATAAACTTGCAGAAGAACGTAACAGTAATGGTATTCAGTTAAACCGAAAGCGCAGATATTTGGAATTTCCCGAAGGATCTTCATTTCAGTTGGGTAAGTCGATGCAATAGAAGACGATTTGAAACAACGTCAAGACTTGTCTTCCTTCCACCATAGTTTATGATTTGATTGTGGGCATTGTGGACTACACCAACTATCTAATTCTGGGTGTTACCGTGGCCTTGGCTTGGGAATTGCCGAGCAAGCCACCCAGTGAAATTCTGAATGATCTTACAGATCGGCTAAAGGATGGAACCCTGGGTACCTCGCGTAACGATACAATTTCAAAAATCAAATATGTGGACACGAAAACCAACAGTGCAATCTCATCACCTACGAAATATTACGACAACCTGCAGCCAGTCTTCAGGCCTCCCATGCATTCGCAGTATTATATTAATCGTACCCCCGATAGTTACTATAAAGCTAGAGATTACTCTAGGTGGGAAAACATGTACAATGGAAAGCAGACATGGGCCAGAAAGGACAATAACTACTACTACAGCCTAAAACCCCCACATCCCTTCTCCAAGTGGTCGACAAATCACTCAACTTACAACAATATATCTCCTGTACCGACGAAATATCCATGGTGGCATTTACCAACCAGGTGCGCCAATTTAAACATTACCAAAGAAACCGCAATTTTATTATGAGTATATTCTTTTGTAGATTGAGCAGTTATGGAGGAACTCGACCAGTTGTCCAGGGCTCAAGGCGTTTTGATCAAGGTTCCAAAAATCTAGGAAATCAAAAATACACCCTTGGCACTGGTCGATCCCAACATCGGGTGTATCCAATCTTCGGAAAACGCAGTTTACGCCAGGATACCAACGACGGGACGAACATTACGCACCGGCACCATCGGCGTGGCATCAGAAGCAGTGATCAATTCACCAAAATCGATCAGATCCACATCCGACACCATCGAAGCACCCGCCATGATCTCTACGAAAGAATCGAAACCTACTTAAACGGGTAAGGCTGACATTATAATTGATTCAAATATCGTTCTTCACCTCCTTCTATGGAGACAAGCGTGCGATTTGGACACACACACATATGCCGCTTCACTAATACAGTTACATTGTATGGAAACGAGTGTTCAGCTTTGTTTATGACATAAGTGTTGATGGCACTTGTGATAAACTAATTGAAGTGCTTCGCATGCTACAAACAAACACTGTGGAAGGTTTTCGCAAAAATACGCACACACACATTCCCTTTCACGTCGATATAACAATTGAAACTCTGGCAAATCTGTTCAATGGTCCTTTCTCCAATGGAGATACATTTCACAGAAATGTACACTCACACAAATCTACATTTAGGGCAAATCCGTTGCCAAGAAATAGAGTGGCCCCTATCGAATTTAAGCAGACACAGTGGACGAGCTAAAACAGATTTCTGTTAAATATTCGATGTCTGTAAATGTTCTATCGCCATTTCCAGAGTAAATGCGAATTCAATTGGGTATTTCCTGATTAAAGGAAATATTTCCCAATTATTTTACTTTGAACGTAATTTGATTTAACATTGAACCTTGATTCGGTCTGCAATCGATGGTTCCATATCCCATGATAGGTATCTATATACAAACTGCAATCGAAGTAAATAATTCGGAATTAATTCAATTTAATGTTCCATTGTACCAATTGGGAATCCTTAACCCACTGTGCCTTGACAGGCACGCACAGAACCCTAAATAGAAAACCCTTCAGTTTAGACGACTTAGTCATTACAATGCTGTAGCAATGAAGGGAATCCCTCATTAACTGTAGACCATTCGTCTATGCAGGGATTTAAGTGATACAATATTGTCATTAAATAAGGACCACACAATGGAAACACTGGTTCCGCAATCCTCACACACAAGTAACCTTTTCTATTTTTTTATGTTTCTCTTCGTTTGCAGGCGCGGATCAAACGGCCACCACTGTGTCCTCCGAGCTCTGTGTGAAACAGGTCAAAAATCTCACGAAAAACAGCCGGGATCTTTTGTTGGTGAATTGATGCGGGCCATATTTACTCTACCAGAGGCCTTTGATGGAGATCGTGGATACAAGGAACAACGATATGACACAGCCAACTCTCATATCGGTGATTGTGCCTCACGTTATCAACTCTGCAAGGATTCCTTGTGGTCGTCACACTTTGTAATGTAAGAAAAGGGAAATGAAATAAACAAAGACCTCGCATTGACTTATGCTGTTTTATTTAAATAGATTTTTTTGAATTCAAAAACATATCGAGTATACTAATGGGACACTTGTTGTTTAGATGGGCATCGCATGTTTCATAATCAGCCGCCATGATTCGCATGTAGTCGTCCTTGACGCCACTTATTGTCGGAAACCTGCAAAAAGTTGTGCAAATATTAATTTCTTTAAAATATTAAAATGAAAACATCCTTCAATACGATTTAAAGGTAGCTTTAAAAAGGGGCCAAAATCTAAGCTTGACCTCTTGTGGTAAAATGTGGCATTTACTTTAGTATTCATAATTATGAACAGTTAAAGTATTCCGATCGTTTAAGCATATTTTGAGATAGTCAACAGGATCTATTCGATTTCTATTTTACGTATTTTTATCTTTTATACATCGACCGAACTGTTGACAAATTCATCGTCCAACCTTCAAAGTTTTCTCCAAAACATTCATTCTGACAAATTACGAGTTCCCAATATAGCTTCAGCTTTAGAAACGAAATAGGATTCAAACTAATCGATACCCTCAAAGCCTAGTAAAATGTAGAATCTCATGTGCATAGACCATGACAAGAAGTATACCCATCTGAGATGAAGTGATGTAGGGAGGACTTTTGTTAATACTTACGTGAATAACACCCTCATTATATCGTGTGTCAATGAGTATCCCGGAGGCAAAAGGAATCGTTTGCTATCACACATTGCCCTCATAATGCAGGTTTTCATGTCGAATCCCAACCTTAAATAAAATTAGCATTGAGGCTATATGCACCGACATCGTACGCGATAGATTTTACTTACACCTTAGTCAGTCCTTCAAAGTGCTGAAATAAATCCCTGCGGCCTCGGTAAGTATTATAATGGGGATTATCCTCAATGTCATCGATTTCGTCAGTCTCATCGGAACGTATATACCTGTCATGCCGGTTCCAACGGTTGGAATAATTATATTTATCCTGCCACTTATTCCATTTCGTATTTGGATTTGCAGTATACTTCTCCACAAAATGTAATTGCTTGTCGGGACTCCACTGATATTTATTCAAATACTCAGGTGAACTATATTTGCTCCATTTGGGAGCATTACTCGGCCTTACCCCGTTCGCGGGTAGCCACTGAAGTTGGGAGACATTGTAGTCTATTCGCTGCACCAAAGGGAATTTTGTGGCTGGTTTCGCACGATATTTAATTAAGGAACCTGGAATTCCGATTAGGGTGAGAGGGGTTGTTCCGGGTGGCTTAGGAGCCTTAGTGGTGGGCTTTCGAAAACGCTTGGGTATCAAATCTATGCGCGCTCCCGGGATCGGATAATACAATGCCGCCTCCAAGACGAAATTCAAACCCTTTGGGTAAATGGCCAGCAGCCGCTTACTTAGTGATGCCGTAAATTTCAAAGATGCCCCTTTAGGAAACAGCATCCATCTTTTGCGTCTGGAAAATACTCTCTCCACCGGATCCCTTAACGTGCTAATGGTCGTTGAATTATGTTGTGCTCTAGCCCCATTCACCGCTAGTGAAATCAAGAAACACCAAAGCAGCCATAGATGGAAGAGGTTCATTATTTTTCTTTCGACTTGCCGCGTCGCCTAGTTAAAGCTCACTACAGCGACAAATGGAGTTTCGATTTTCGATCCCCCAAATAAGTCATCATATTTTGGTAATGATGTGTAACTTTCTCATTAGCATCTAGTGTGACAGGCGGCGTCTACAATAGTATTTTGACAAACACTGGCCCAATTAATTTCGAAACACTCGGGGCAGCATTCAGTCTGCAGTTCATACTTGACCAAGACAGTGAACATGTGGATTACTGAATTGAGCATTTTAATTCTGGCAATTGGCGGCAGCCACTCACTGCTTTATCCGCAGTCTTCTTCATTAGGTGTAAGTTGGGATATTCGGCAAATAATCCTTTCTCTAATGTCATTCGATGTCCCGTAGCTCGTTGCATCTGTGTCCGTCCCCGTCACTGAGTACTTGCCAGACCGTAGAGTAATTATCGATTGGTGCTTTCAAATGGCTTATGATCTGCCGTATCAGCTATCGTCATTCTATAATATACCCATCTGGCCAGGCAAGCATAGCCCCGTCAAAAATCCTAAACGTTCCATAGCGAACGACAATGTTTCGTCCATAGGCAACCATTGGCACTCCATTGAAGCAATAAACAATACCACGACTTTCGGTAGTAGACATCCAAGTGATTTTACAGCAGGAGAGCTCTACCGAAGTATAGAAGATCTTTTGGTCAGGTAAGTCCGCGAAAAAAACCATTAAATCCAAATGTCTCCAGGACCGTTTTTATGTTTTAGCTATGGATTTGACGAAACATGCTTGCTGCGAAGTGTCTGCGAATTGGCTAAACACCCATTTGACGATGACAATCAAGGGAATATTCTGACCGACATTATCACATTTATTTTAACGTAAGTGTCCCTGTATCGAATCCGGTGCCAACTGGTTCCAAGATCTGTTTCAAATTGACACTGTAATTGTCAATTTCAATTGATTCCCTCCATTGCAGACCGTCACAACATGATGGATTCGATTCGACCGAAACCCTTTACCGTGAAACATATGAGGCCGCCGAGAGAAGTGGATTTCTCGGTGAAAACTGTGCCTATTTATACCCAAAATGTGAAACCGACTTACTAAGTTTGCTGAGCCATATACATTTGTAGGCGCACAAAAGTCCAAATAAACTATTCCATTGAGACTAATTTTGAAATATAATGTTTTATTCAAACATATGTTTGTTAAGAAGACCATTTTGTGACGTCCCAGTCATCGACAATCATGCCCGCCATAAAAAAGAAGGATTTTTTAATAAAAGCAAGAACGTGTTTTTAATTTATTTTCTTCTTCTTCTTCTTTAAGTCTTCAAATACATGCGAAGTTACAAGACTTTAACATAAAGTATGATCATTTGCCATCTGGTTAAAAAATCGTCAAAATTTTAAATCGAGAAGGGTGTAGGGGGGTTCCCTTAAAGTAGTGAACTCAGAATATTCCACACATCATCCTCACATTCCGAATACAATCGATGACACTGGCTGCCAGCACGACCTTGTCGCTCAGCTATGTGGTAAATATGAACCAGACCAGAATCTTCCGACGATGACAGCAGAAGGCGTGACGGACTGTGCAAATAATATGAATAAAGTGAAAGAAAATAAATAAGGAAAGGTTCGATACGAAACGTCCAAAAAATATCCTTGCATATTGTACCTCATCACGAATGTTATGAGATTGGTTAACCAATTACTGCTGCCTTCGTCGAAGGGGTGGAGTGCCAACTCACAGATGGCACGAGTTAAACAAGATCTGTGATAATCGTGTCTGCAAAACATCATATCATAATAAGAGTTGTGTTAATTAGGGTTTTGTAGCGTCATAGCTTCGTGCTCATCTTCATTTTCAAAGTGTCGTTCAAATTAATTTCTATATTTTTAATTTATGGGAAATTACTCTTACAGTACAAAATTGTATATAATATTTCGTTTGTAATCGAAAACGGTTGGAATTAAGATATTTTGAGGGGTGTCAACACATATTTACCGGAATTCGTATCCATTATGGTATAAAGGGTGATTTTTATCTATTATCTCTTTGGCAACTATGGTTTATGTAGTTCACGCTCGATACTACGAATCATAGCGCAAGTGTGAATGGTGAGCGCAACCTTGGCAAACTTGACTTCAGAAATGTTGGAAAGACCATTTACATGAAATAATCTTCAAACATTAATTATATCGACCTAACTATCGATTCAAATAAAGACTTCATGTTTTTTTCTGATTTTTAGTGCCTTTTTTATTTCACATAGCTCTTGAAAATCACCCTTTGTAATTCAATTACGAGAATTATAAATTACAAATAATACAAATGATTGGAATGGGTAATTTTAGCCATAATCCTATGATATGTTGAAATAACGTTTCTGTGCATTTTAATTCTCACCGCATATATAGCACATACCTTTCCAAAATTCTCTCAAATCCTTGGTACAATTGTAGTGGTGTGAAGTCTTCAGAATATAATTCTCTTTTCGACATCGCTTTATCCTTGAAAGGCCAAATTGGAGCCATGTAAAAAGATGACAAATTGAATGGCATATTGTAGTTCATTTGCAATCCCCAATCAAAAAACGCCTTGCGAGTGGGAGGAAGATCCGTAATCGGCAATGACACTGAGCTAATAATCTTAAAAAACAAGTTCCCAATCACTTCTTCAGGTCGCTCCAGCACGAAATGTACTTACTTGAAAAACTGTGGATGCTGGATAGAGCAAAGTACCAAACACTAATCTGTGTGTCCATAGGAACACACAGCAACCTAGCCGTAAATGTGACGCGCTAAGCATGACTAGATTGTGACAACTGTCAGCTGAACTGCAGGACGTGCAAAAATAGAAAAACAACAACTTGGCAATTCCAAACGTTTTTTATTTACTTCTCCTCAACTATTCGAATGGCTAATATCAATTATATTGGTTAAGGTCGTTAGTAAGTCTTCTTCGCATTCACTATAAAGTTCGGCGCAATTGTAGTGCAGAAATCCGTTTCGTTCTGCTGCCTCGTAAACGTCACGGTACAATATCTCAGTGTCGGAGAAAGCCTCATGCAGCGATGGCCTAGAATTCAAACGAAAATGGATTTTTTTGTGTTTGTACATATTCTAATTTTTTGTTTTGAACTCACGACAACACGAATGTTAGAATCTCGGTTAGGAGATTTTTTTGAGCGTCATCAAATGGATGTCGAGCCAACTCACAAACACTTCGCAGTAAACATGTCTCGTGGAAGCCATAACTGGAAAAATAAACAAATAAAATAAAATATTGTCCATGCTCTACTATCGCTCACGATTCATTCTAAATTTATGAGATTTTCGATTTACTTGCGGCAATTCTCAGTATGCAGGTGATGGCGGTGAAATCTTTACCTTGGCATATTAATGTTATTTTATTATGTATAATAGTCCGCCAGAGAAATGAGGTTATGTTAAGTTTGTTTTCCGATTTATAACGAATTGAGTTAAGTCGTAAACATTTTTCACCGACCCGGACCAGCTTCAGACATAGATTATAAAAAAATATAGGGTACACTAAAATGCCGACGTTAACCTGACTTCCCAACCGAATTGGATGTTAAGTGAGTAAAAATTTCCCTAGCAATATCATAAATATTGGTCCCCACAAAACGGTACCCTCTAAATTTCTATATTGTTGTATTCTGGACACATTTACCACCCGAAATGATTGTAATTCGATATTTTGTAATATCAAGATCCTACATCTTTCGGTATAGCTCCTGGAAACAGTAAATATCATTCGTTCTATTATATTGTTATTGTCAATTCACATGTACACCATTACGTTGATCGATATTGTTGGTTGAACTATCCTTGCAGGGTGCAAAAATGGTCAGTTCTTACCTTATTAACAGATTTTCCATTGCATAATAAAACTCTCCAGCAGTAAAGTCACTTGGATGTTTGTTCGCAACATCCTCGTTGTATTTCTCTGCAATTCTCCACCAGGTATGATTCACCGATTTATCGTGGTCTTCATGCAGCCCCCTGCGTCTTCGAATTTCCTCCTCGAATTCATCTTCCCATTTGTTTGGCCATATTGGCACGTTAATAAAATTTTGTGGAGTATAGGGTAAGTCGTAATTAGCCTGAATTCCCCAATCCCAGTATATTTTTCTTACTGGATTCTCAACGGGAGCAGAAACTAAGACTGTCAGCTATAATATTACAAAGCTTGACTATTGAGGCAAAGATCTGAAATACACTGAACTCACTTGCAATGTCGAGGCAGCCGGAAAAAACAATGCAGCCACCGATGTTTGGGTAAACTGCCAGCAAATAATCAACCACAACGGGAGTGGGGAGCTCATGTCTGGACGCTTCTTTTCTGGCCTTTGTTTGTAGACTGATTGTTGATCGAATACAGACGGCAGATTAAAACAATGCCCTCAATGGAATGAAACCATCTACCTGCTGAACATAATTTTTTCTCATGTCATGTGTGTTAATTAAAATTTTACGTAGTTGTTGGTGTAATTCTTTGCTTTGTAGGATTTCCACTATAATAACCTGATGGATTCGATTAGCGTCCAGTGTTCTGATTTTAATTTATCAGATATAGGTTAACGTCATTTATGCTTTACTTTTAAATTTAAAATAATTTAAGGATTTCTAATGTTTTTTTTTCCAAAATATACCAAATAAAGCGAATTCTGTCTCGCCCTCTCTCAGCAACGAAAAAGGTCGATCCTCAAATGCATGCTAATGAATATGATTGTCATCTAATTGAACAACTTAAAATTTGGAATATGACTTCAAAGCAAGCTTCTAATGTGTATGCTTGAGTACTGCTAAAACCAGATAAGAGTGTGGCAAATATGCACATAAGTACACACGTTTGTATGGATGTAAGAGGAAAACGTACATTTGTCGCCAAGAGATCACCAGCAGACTTGTTAATTGCTCCAAATCGGGCGCCGTCATGCAATAACGCATTAAAGACATTCTAGCTAACAGTACAAACTACACAATGCATACAAATAGATCGGATGTGACATATAAAACCTATTTGAGCCCCTGCACTTCTACCATGGAGAAATTCCGACGCATTGACAGAAGTACTAAATTCATACTGTTGGGTTGCATTGCATTAGTACTTGCCCTAGTAGTGGTAATGTTACGATATAATGCTCTTCCCATTTTCGAGAGAACCCGTCACAGCAAGCCATTGAATGAGTCCCGGCCGAACCGTTTCAAACGTTTTATCATATACGATGGTGGAGGCGTTGTCAAAGTAAGTTGGGAAATAAATCGAATGTAGCGTCCATGCCCAGAACTTTGTTCTATTTTCAGCTGGTCCTTGGCACATCATTTCCCATTATTCTGCCGGACAGAAAACGATCACTTAGTGTATTCTACAACTTCCAAATGCAATATACACCCCCGCCCATACCCTTGTACTGGTGGAGCCTTTACAACACCACCACATTTGTCGCACGCAAACAACGTTCGATTGACCGGCTGAGGCAGAAAGATAACAGCCGAAGTCGCCTTTACGAATTCATAGAAGTGTTATTCCATAGGTAAGTCATTGTGTAACCACATGGTTAGTGGCTACTTTTTTACAAAAACAACAAGTAGATCATTCATTTTGCACATAATTTGTCCATAAAATGGCTCTCGCCATTGTCGAACAATACGCCCACCTTCTGTTTCCCACTGGTGCTTACTTGCCTGCAGGCTAGACAGCTCCAACAAAAACTGCTTATTAAAGGTCATTTGTGAGGTGGCACGTGCTCCACTTAGCGAAGAGATTGCCCAGGGGCAAGGAGATGACTACACCGCTGAACATAGAGTTAACGATGACTACGGCCGAAATATTTACCATAGGCTAATAAATGCGATTTTCACGTGAGTTCAGAATAAAAATCAACAAAAATCAATTTTCCCCAATCATTTTTTTAATTACACCATCAGACCGTATTTTCCAAACGTGGATGAACGTTATGTGAATGCTGCTAATGCCGGGGCAAGTGGTGCTACTTGTTCTGAAATATATAGCCAGTGTCCTCTTATTGACGAATGGCTGAAGCGATTCACAATTCTAACCTAAATGAAGCGGGCGACCATGTATTGCATTATTTCACATACTCAATCAATCTCACATAAAAATAGACGTAATGGACCGACCAAATATACCCTACACTATGAAACCTATGATTCCATGTACACTAAAATTTGTTCTATTTAAATTATGTATGTTGCCGAGATACATTATTTTATTTTTAGTGGAGAAATAAGTTTGAAATGCTGATTACAATACAGAAGGGACTTCTATTAACTAATTAAGAAAGTCCCACTGCAATTTGAGTCGGGACCCTTAGGTGTAATATTTTGCTTTAGCAAATAAATGGAGATATGTTTGAACTTTAATTAACGAACATTTTCGGAAAGTTACGACCAAAATAAAGTAGTGCTTAAGTCCAACCGGCTGATATGAGAAAATTGACATAATAATGCATTTTTATATCTAAATTGCGTTACAGAATCGTAAACTTGTGCAGAATTTCCTTTCGAATTCGCAAAAAACTCGGGTGGGGTGCTACGTTGTTGTCCATTGCATAATGTGTCTGCATGATTTCTAAAATGTTCCAAAATCCGTGTAGCGATGAATTGTTTCAAGAGTGTTGACCTGCGTCTTTCGTTCGAAAATTGTTATCGAAATCGTTCCGAAATTCCTGTTTTATTAATCACGAATTTAAGTTCTCACGTTCTAAAATGTCAAACATTGATACCAACCCAATTTCGATAACCTGAATGAAATTAGTTTCAATTAGCACAGACATGGCAACATATTGCCGAGTTTATCAAGAAATAAACACAGTTCAATTTAGAGTGTCAGAGAAGATAGAACATTGAGATGAAGATCCATGATCCCATCTTTTTGTCACTGATATGTGTGTGTATCGTTTTAACAGTTACCAATTGCGGTCTATGCATTTCAACGGAGGCGCCATCTATGCTATGTCAATTCCAAGAAAAAGTTCTGAAGAGACGAACTCGTTCTTTTGTATTCCCCAAAAAAGGTCAACTCCTGCTGACGCCAGTCTTTGCGAAAGCAATCCTTGGTGGTATACCCAAAGGTTTAACATACTCTATGGAATTTGACATGTATCATCCACTACCGGACACCGTTGAAGGTTGGAAACCCACTATACTTTTGAATCAAATTGGAAAGAAGCAGAAAGTGGAAGAAAACCTGACTGTACTGACTACGAACAGTAGCACTGTCACAGGTTCGGGAAACGTGTCTCAAAACTATGCTAATAATGAAGAAAGTTATCATTTCCCCGTTTACGATGATGTGGAGTACGGGACCAATCCATGGGCATATTATAATACAATGATCGATAGTGATCCCAGCCTTATCTTCTCGCATCAAGAAAACCCACACATCGAGAGATCCTCCCAAACACGATCTCATGCTCGACGGTTCCACACGCCGCCCATTAGGAAACCAGTCGACTTCCAAGCAAATGAAGCCGCAGACGCGAATCCACTGCTTAGAGACGGTGAGAAGCTTATTTGGCATAATAACCAAAATTTACGCGAAAGAAGACAAATTTTTGACCAACTGGAAAAACTTGGGAGAATTTTTCAAATCGACATGAACTCCTGCATACAAAGGGCCATGTGTGAAATAAAAACCCATCTACCGCCTTTTGGAGAATCTCTTATGCACGACGTAATGCGAATAATATTAACGTAAGTAAATGCTCAGATTAATTTCTCATTCTCACAGTGAATTTTTGTAGTATACCCAAATCGTCAAAGACATCTAGCGAAAACGAAAGTCCCGATGAATATGGTCGCCAATATGCCAATGTTAATTGTGCTCTTCGATTTTCAGTGTCGTGTCCCTATCCAGTGTTGCCATTTCTAGTAAAAGGATTCAGTCGCTTATAAAGATATATCAAAGTATAATATTTTAATAGATATATGCATAGAGTTTTAATACATTTAATAATATATAAAGATATACAGCATGTCTGTTCTAGAAATTCCAAATATGTACAAAATTTTTACTACGATAACAATTTTATGATATCGAAAAAATTTTTAAAAATGAGTAGATTTTTGCCATTCTGGAACATCAATATTTTATGTTATTTTTGTTTCTTACTTCATCTACTATTAATTATTTGTTTCGATACTTCAGTTTTGTAAAAATACCGTACTTTGTAATTATTCAATAACTAATATATTAATATATTGGTATAGTTTTGACCGTCTGCAAATTAGGTTCATGAATAATATAAGAAAACGACAGCTTATTGTCTACACATAAAATATAGATTTTAAATTGTATTTTATTTATTTTTATTTAACCCAATAAAAACAACTTTCCGAGAATTTTTTGGAGTTAAGAAATGTTTTTCTATATCTTAAGGTAGAAATTTGACTTTTAAGATATGACCACTATTTTTTTGGTGCAAAATTAATCAATACAGCCTCAAGGAAGAAAAAGCAAATTAAAGCTCCGCCTTCTTTGAGACTATACTATATTTTTTGATAGCACAGGATAAAAATACAGTTTAATCAAGTTGAGTTCTCAAGATATCAACATCTAGTAAAGCAGTAGAATATTCTAGGTGATGATATATTAAACAAGTAAAAAAGTGTCAATCGCCCTATGGTTTGCGGAGAAGATCTTCGGAGATATACACAGGTTTTATTATTCGGCACACAGGTTGTGCCATGGTACAATTATACATGGCAGGGTAGCTTTAGTCAGAAAGGAGAAAATACACCTCTACCTTATGGGCAATCATGTCAGAATAAATGAAAACAAATGCAACAAGTAGTTCGAAAAATGAATGCAAGCGTCGTCGATTCATTCTTTCGTGAGCATTTGTTGCTGAATAACATTCTCTTGAAAAACTCAATAAACAAATGTTCGCGAATGCTCGCGAGCACTGTTTAAAACAACAAACAAAAATATCATAAAAAATAATCACACACACAATGAATGACAGTGTGTGTAGCAGAAAGTGTGTGGAATAACAAAACACATGTCCAACAACTATTGAGTTCACCAACGTTTGTTGTTGCCGTTTTGAGCATTCGCGAGAATTCGGGAACGTTTGAATTCATTCCTGAGAGCGTAATTAGAGTTGCGCTATTTTTAATTTTGTAACAAGCGTACTTTTTGTTCACAAAAGGTACGAATTGACATAAACGTACCAAAACAAAAAGTTTTTTATTTTTTTATTGTTCGTGAATACATTTTTTGTTCCTAACTCTCTGGTAAGGTTTTCCAACTCAATTCACAATTTACCAATGAGAGAGAGAAACTCTCAACACCAATCTCAATAAATGTAAAACCCCGCAATGTCCCCGTTGTTGTGTGCTCTCACCCGTTTGTTATGTGTGTGCGAACATTCTTTGGCGAATGCTCGTTTGGTACAGAATTTATCGCCATAAATTCATTCGTGAAATGAGCACAAAACGAAAAGAATTTATTTTGAATCATTCGCGAGCGAATTTTTACGCACCCTGCACAGTTTGAAAATTAGGGATAGGTAAATCGACTTTCGACTAATCGACTTTTTGTAGTGAAAAATCTAAAAGTAGATGTCGACTTTTGATCTATGAGAAAATCGTAAAGTCGACTTTTCAAGATCGACTTTCGATTTTCTTCATAAATACTTTGTTTTTTATCACAAAGCTCAAATTGCCCAAAAATTGGTCAGAGCAAAAATCGAAAAGTCTAAAAGTTGACTTTTGCGCTCGACTACGTATCCCCAGTAAGCGTACTATTATTTTGCTCTGAGTCAGGTTAACAGCTAAAAATTCAAAGATGTTTTGTTATCGGAACCATTCGAACTAGCAAAAATTACTTTATGCCAACTATCGGCACGGTGCCGAAATCATATGGTTTCTGTTTGACGTTATTTACCTTGTCGACGTTATTCGCCACAGAAGTAAGTAGTTAGGTTCGAACCTAATTGAATGCGTAGCGTTGAACGCCCGTATTGCCCAAATACGAAAAGACCTTATCTACATGTATTTCAATTAAAAACTTGGATGATAACATCTTTGTAATTGATTGAATTTTTTCCCAAAATGCGCACTGTCAACCCTGGAAATGTTCAACTTTACATTTTGATACGCAATACGTATTTGGGTAACATTCATTAGACATGTATTTAACTTTTGAGGCGGATATAAACGTATGTATACGCATGCATTTAGGCACGAGCCAAAAATTAATGTTATCATCATAGTATAATTAATTGTACAAGGTAACTGCAGAACTACAACAAAGACAACATAAATCAACAACAACCAAATTACATGTCAAATAAAACGAAACGAAGATGAGCGACCTAATAAAAGTATTTGATAATCCCAATTTTAGCGTTGAAAAGTGTAAGTATTGTTGGTCAATTTTATACATGTATGGAGTGAAGTCAAGAGATATTTTCTTTTAGATACCAAGCAACTGGTAAAGGAATGTGTCGGGGGACCCGATCTTCAGAAAAAGAAGAAGGAAATCCAATCATATAGCGACAAAACTTCTGCCACCCTGAAGAAATCGGTATATGCCAACTACATGCAATTTATTGAGACAGCCAAGGAAATATCAAGTTAGTTTGACAAAGGCTTTAATGGGCGTATCTATGATACATATTTATTATTTTCACAGATCTGGAATCGGAAATGACTCAGTTATCTCTGCTTTTGCATGAGCAACACAATATATTGGCTTCACTAACTGATGGGGCTGTGACAAAGACCGGTGATGACGAAAGGGATACACAAACGCAGGAAGAAGCAGAAAATATGCATGCGACAAGAGCAGTAAAGGAGATGGTGCAAGGTTTCAATGGCAATTTAGAGGGCAAGACATTCCTTTGCGAAGGCGCTCTAACAGAGTTGGACAGCAATGACTATCGTCCCATTCAGAGGGTATTTTTCTTTCTTTTCAATGATGTCCTGATTGTTTGTAAAGTTAAACATGACAAGTATGTGCTTCCGCATTCTTAGATATTATTGGAATTAACTGTGTTAATTTTTAGACGCCTCGAATTTATCGCTGAATATGATCCTAAGAAAATAGCTGTTATTAATATCAAGGACCTTAACGGCGTAAAAAATGCCATAAATATAATAACCCCAGATGGATCTAAGATATATCAAAGTATTACTCCAGCTGGCAAGAGCGAATGGATTGAACAATTTGAAGTGGCATTCAGATGGGACCAACAGCAGAAGAAATCTAAGAAAGGCCTGGCTCCGCAGCCACCGAAAGCAAAAGGTACCAGTACTCCGAATTCGAACTGCGAGAAATCAGCAGATATGAGTCCAAACGAATTGGAGTCGGTTATCGCAAAAGATGAAGAAAATGTGGGACCTGATTGGATACAGTCTGCCTCCGATGAAATTCAAACATTTATAGCACAACGACATTTTGAAGATGCCGAGGCATTGATTAGACGTTGTAAAGAGTTTCTTGTACAAAATAAGAACTTTGTCGGAGTTGTTGAGATTGAGGAGAAGATCAAACATTTGGAGAGGCAATTGGCAGATGTGTTGCTGCAAGAACTATCAAAGTGCCATGCACGCAATCTGGAAGTCGCCTTACGGTCATCTAAACGTTGTCTGCAAATTCTTGTAAATATGGGCAAGGCTCGCCAAGCAAGTGGTACGCTTTTAAGGGTATGCTCTATAGCCTTGCGCACGGCACAAAGAGAGGCCCGCAAAAACAACGCCGAAATATCGGAATTATTCTTTTGTGATTTAGCGCAGGTCGCATGTGCCTTTTTGGTCTCATTTGAATCACAGCCTGCATGCGTGAGTGGTAAGTTCAAAACTACGACGTTTCGACTTTGATTTGGATTAAATTGATTTCATATTTCAGCGCTGGTAGTATGGTGCAATGCAGAACTACAATATTTCGCCAGCCAACTAAAGAAACACTATTTAACCAAAGGAAGTCACTTAGAGTCTATTGCAAAGTGCGTTGAAGGAGTTCGTAAGCCATGTGCTAAGCTAACAGAAATTGGTTTAGATCTCTCCTATCACCTAGAAGGATTGCTCCGAGCGGATCTTGAAGATTTGATCAATGAATCCAGATTAAGACTTTTAGAAACAATAGGGCGCACGGATGATCCTTGGCAACCGTTCAATTTACATACAAAATCTAACTTGAAACGTTTGCTGCTTGATTTGGAAACACTGGGAATTGATATACGCCCTCACACAACTGGGGATACATGGATAAACTTAACCCAGTCCACTCTTAATTTCACACGCCACTATTTGCAATTGACCAACCACTGCTCTTATCTAGCGAAGAGCGAAGCGCTATCAAAATCATGTCAGATTCTATTGAGAGATTTGTTCATTGCACAACATTCCTTGAAACCGGATATCAATATGAGCGTAGATGTAAGTTTTCTATACCTTTGTTGACTTTATTTAATTACTCATTATTTTCTTATAGCCAAATTTCGTTGCGAAGAATAAACGATTTTTATGTGATGAACTTCTTCCAATTGCTATTGCCAATTTTCGGCGTATAAGTGGTAGTAATCCCGACATACTGTTTAATATTGGTGTAACTCGACAAAATGCGGCCCCTATTCCTAAAAAGCGCAGTGTCTACCAAACTGATGTATTTTAGCCATACATTTCACTCGTCAATTTTTTAAAAACACATTTATTTATATTTTCATTAAAGCTGATGACTATTGACTATTGTGTTTAATATAAATCTGATCTGGTATATGGTCTTAGTCACCCGGCGCCTTTAAATCTATATTTTAAAAATTATTTTGCAAATAAATAAATAAAAAATCTGATCTGGAAATAATGATGATGATGATGTTTAGAAAAACTTAACATTAACTCAAAGAGATCTGGCCAAAAATATGAAAAGCTATACTGAATATTATGTCGAAATATTTTTTCATTAATTGGTTAAACACGCCCTTCTGTCCATGTATTTTTGTAAACAAATTATAGGTCAATTTTATTATCCAATATAGTAATTGGAGTGAATTCACTAAAATTCAGATAGAGGCCCCACAAATATGCAGAAGGACAAGGTTGGGATATATATGTCACAGTATGAGCACTAGGGCCACGACGAATTAACGTAAAGCTAAAAAACGAAAATTGAATTTCAATTATAAATTAAATGAATTCCTATTAGTTGTAATTCGCGAATTTCTTCACAAATGGATAAACACATTGGTTTTCTTTCCACACTAGTCAAATCACATTGAAATACGGTATAAAAGTCGTGAAAAACAAATAAAAGCATGAAAATATCTGAACATAAAATAAATTAAATTTTGAATTGCCACAAAATGTTTTTTTTTTTTTAATTTTTGATTTTTTTGGTATGGTTAAGATAATACACCGAAAATCCGGCTTCAAAATGTCAGCATCCATTTTGGGTGGATGCAATGATTATATCGAAAAATCATGTCCATGGGGTATTCTGCAACTTAGTCTCTGATCACATGTGCGTGCGTTGTGTAGTTTAGCCACAAATCAGGAAGGAACACAAAAAAACTCGTTGGCTTCAACACATTTTCAGCCATTTTTTTACATTAACACCATCACAGCTCCCACCGAACTTATTATTTATTACCAATATTTTAAGATTTTAGATTCGATTATATGTAATATGTTAATATTTCGCGAGTTATAACCTTGCAAACCTCAGTTTCAAGGAATTTAAAAGATTTTTGTAATTTCCCAGATATATTTGAAGATTTAAAAAGGAAGAAAAATAATTTACAAAAAGTTGTTGTTGTTGTTTTTTGTGATCAAAGAAAAGTCCTTTTTTGATGGCGGGCATGGAACATAGGAATCCGAAAACTCCAACTGTGTTAGAAAGAGTACATGTCTGGCTCTCGTATGAACTAGGATTATTGACTTCGCACAACAATTAACAAAATGGCGGAACTGTGGCTTAATCCCAGAGAAACGTGTCAAAATTTGGAACTGATTGGATTATTATTTTTTGAGTTTGAGCCGCACAAAATGGCATAATTGAAATAAATAAATGGCTTTAATTGTGAAAATCATGTCAGCTTTCAGCGTCCATAGTTAATTTTAAACAATTAAATGGAATAACTTTTATTTCAGTCAATAATAGGCCACACACAGTTCATTAATTTCTCGATTTTTGTTTTACCAACTCGCTTTTCATTAACAATTCATTGGGAACCCAGAATGACACAGTAAAGTATATTTTGTGAAGAAATTAATCGAAATAAACGACATGTATGATTTGATTACACATAGGGTTTTATTTTATTTGTATTATCTCGTTATTGTTGTATATTATAATTAAATTTAGATCTTCTCTTCATTTATATTTCATAGATCAGTTTGTTTTCCATTTAAAATAAAATTTATTATATAATTATATACATAAATAACCACATGAATTCAAACAGTTTATTACTTATTTCGTATCATGCATATTCTTGTTTTCACTTCATGATTAGTTCTTGATTCTCAATTTCAGCTATGTTTGCTGATGTCTTCTACTTAATAAATACATACTTATTAATTTGTTTCCCATACAAAAAGTTGATTGCTTACTAAATTATTAAAAAATAAAAAAATGCCGTTAAAAACATTCTGTAAAAGAAATGAAGATATATGTGCGCGTGACACAAAGGATAATAAAGACGGAAACACATAGTAAAAATGTATAAAGAAGACATATAAAAAACAACGTTTTCAAATAAACACATTACGAGACAATAGTATTTGTAATATTTTGAAGTAGAAAATTTCGCTACAGAACGGCTTATTTTGTTCATAGTATGTATATGGGAAACGTCGATCAAACTTATATTAAAACGTGGCCTCCTATTTATAAACTATCATCTACAGTATTTGCATTTCCTTACAAGGAGGAAGAGGTGAAAGACGTATATTTAGAGGATCGATCGGGTTAAAGGGACGACGAGGGTCATTAAAAAAACAAGTGTTTTCCAGGTGTGCTATATATTGAGTGTTGGGGCAATCTATATTCGTGTACACCTATTTCTACGTTGTATTTATATTTATATATGATTTTAATGAAATATTTTCATTTGCTTAATCGTTTTTCTTTTTTTTTCTTTTTTGAATTACATTAAAAAATTAACATTAAGATCTTTCTCTTCAGCATCGTTTTATATTAAAATTACAAAACATAAACGTCACTTTCTACAACATGCATTCTCGCCATCCTCGTTGTTGTGTTCTGCAATCGCCTTGAAATGCGCAAGACTTAAGTAGTAGAGCGCTTTATGCATAATAAATTGGGTGAATATGTGGCAGAGCTGTATTATAGATCCGCGAATCGATCCAATTAAAATTGATACTGTTCCTTTCTTTTTGTTTTAAACTTTATTTTTATGTATGTTTTACAATTACGTTACAAAATAAAAAGTAAAAGTAGAAAGATTTTTAACAATATAAACTGCAATGAAATAACTGAGAGCATTGGTTTCCTTCAAAGAAAAAATAAAACAAATTCTCTAAGGAGGTCAGTTTGTCTGTTTCACCTTTGTTTTTTTGTGTTTTTATATCTATATTTATAAGTAAATTAAGAATTGTTTCGTGACATTTTAAGTGAATTTTCAACTCAATTATTTCCAAATGAGTCAACGAATTTTGAATGTGGCAATTGTTGTTTTGCGTTTTTATTACTCTTTCATTTAATTATACACAGACGAGGGATTGCGGATTTCTTTATCATCTTCTTCTTGCAATATTATTAACTGTTTTGTGTTATTAAAGACTTAATGTACTGCACTTAACACCTAAGAAAGAATTGTTTTATATGTATGTATATTTATAATCAAAATGTTTTTGTTATGTTGATGCTTATACTTTCGCGTGTGTGTATTGTATAATGGATGTTGATTTTAATGTGAGTGTATGTTGTTTGTTTTTCACTTTCCATTCATTTTAATGCCATTGACTGACTTCAATAGCTAGCTGTCCTAGTGATAGTTGTATGGTGAGTTCTCGCGAGTTTAAAGTACACGAAACTGAAATCAATCAACATCAAATTATCCGCAGAATACAAACGAGTGAATTACAAAAGATACAATTTGAAATTGAAGACCCCATTCGTTTTTATATTTTTGTGAAGGTATGTGCTGCTGTTGGAGAACAACTATCGATTAGTATATTACTTCGTAAACTGTAGCCTTTTTGTCTCCGGATCCCGTCACAATGTACTTGTCGTCAGTTGATATGTCGCAGCTAAGTACTGAGGAAGTTTCCTTTGACTGGAAGAACAAGTTGAAATAGGTTAGTACTTGAAAGGGAGATGGCGACATTTTATGTATTACCTGGAATATACTTGCTCCGTAAGGTGTTCTCCAAGCATTTAATAGATTATCTTTGCCTGTGGATACGAACCATTTGCCACAGGTTGCAAAACGCAATGACAACACACAGCTTTCATGCAAATGTAATTGATACTTGTCAGGTTTGGATGCGTGTAAAACCTCGACGTGAGAATTTTCCATACCGACTGCCAGCCAGTCGCCTATTATGGGAAGACATTTTTGCATTAATTACCCAAGTACTAGGTTGAAAATACTTACCTGTGGGACAATAGCCCAATGAGAAAATCTGTGAGCTGAAATCGTGCTGTTGTAGCTGGCGGCCCTCACGCAAATCCCATGAGCGCACTGTATTGTCGAGACCACCGGTCCATAGTCGTGTACCGTCTGGGCTAATGTCAATACAAGACGCACCATCTGTATGACCTTGGAATTGGCGCACTAATATTTCGTTGTGCAAGTCCCAAACTGCTATGTTGCCATCGCTGCAACATGAGAAGCAAACTTTCGAATCCGGGCTAATTGCCAGCGCATAACAAGCTGGGGCAGATGACGTTAATTCAGCTTTAATTCTTGGCGTGGGGCTGGCAAGATCCCAAATGGAGAGATTTGACGCCTCACCGCCTACAATCAATGTTCTTCCGTCGGGTAGTAACTTAACTGATCGAATGTAGTTATCGCGCTGCAAGCAATCCAGCTGACTAATGGGGCTCTTGTTCCCGGGCTGCGAAATGTCCCACACTTTCACGCATCCTTTACCGCCTGTGTACACATATTTTGTGGGGTTTGAAATGGTAACTGCACAAACCACTTCACCGTGTGACAAAGTATTTATTTGGCGTGCATGTCTGGGTATTCCAACACCCACCAACGCGTCTGGTGGGAACGGAACTGGTTGTAGGCTACCTTCGCCATTCATATGGAAGGAATAAGCACTGTAAAAAATAAAAACAAATTTGTATTTAGTCTGATCGTCGACCCAATCAGAAAAGATCTTACGGCTTTCCACCGGTAAGCGCAGTCGGATGTGGAATGCCATTGGTTCTAACGTGCGCGTGTGGATCGTAAGGTAGAGGTGGTGGCCTTCCGTAAGCCGGGTCGGAGGGTGGTCTCTGGTATGGATCGGCTGGTCTCTGATATGGTGATGCTGGATAACCAGCCGGCGGAGGACCTCCTTGGGGCATCATTTGTTTGGGATTAACGCCTTGTGCTGGCGGCGCTGCATTGGGAGTAGGAGTGCGAGCTTTTGCACCCGGGGTGCCCGGTTTATCCATCTGCGTTAAAAAGTAATGAATTTATTATGTTCCCGTAAAAAGGTAACGGATTTATAATATTCAACAAAATTATAATTACATCTTTTGTCTTAAGGCTGGGCGTTGATCGTGACGAACTAGAGCCTGAACGTGAAGGTGGTCTATCTGATGGTGGTTTCACACCACTGCTACCCGGTTTATCTAACCTTTCTCCATTTAAACTTTCTCGATCTCTACCTTCCATGGACAAGTGTTCACCATTTGGCCGAGGAGAATGTGATTCCTAAAAAAAAGAAGAAATAAAATTAGATGTAATACGATTATTGTATCAGTTATTTTTATTCCGCCATCTAAATAACATCGATGAATTGGACTCAAACATTCATATTAACTTAATCTGTATAGGAGCAGTGATGTTAAACAATGAAACTCAACTCACCATTTCATTTGCAACATCTACGACTAAATCTTGATCGCTTTTCTCTCCTTCATCCTCCTGGAAAAATTTTGAAAAATAAAATAAAATTGTTAACAAGCGAGCACTTGAGATTTCGCACGACATTATTCTCAACAAAACAAAAGCAAACTTAAAAATTAATTATACTCTATGGGGATTGCTTAAAAGGAGACAGGGAACAAGAGCAAGTGTGTGTATAGTAGTGATATACAAGAAATCAGAGGTAAACAAAAAAAGAGAGAGACGGGAGTCTACGCTAGCAGGGTTCGACTGCTAATTTCTCGCAAAATAAAGATTTACTACATTTAGCAATTAACTACATAACTTCAGATTGGATTGAACTTGATAGGCGGGGAAAGGAGAGATAGTAAGTGAGAGCAAGCAAGTCCTTTTTCGTGAATTTCAAACATAATCCCCTTTTACGTATTAATGGTGAGTTGAGCTTTTTATATTTTTATTTTCTGTTGTTGGCGACGACACAACAGACATGAAATTATCTTAACATACATTGTAAGTACTTACCAATTTTTCTTGCTTGGGACGTTTAGAGTCGTTTTCAATATCGAGGGGCGAACGTGTGCGATATTTTTCACGATCTGCCGGAGAAACCGAATTACGCTGCAGTATAAAAATAATTTAATCATTAGCATGGATAAAAATGTTGTTTCTTCAATACGTACCAGTCGTTCTTCAGCACTTGCCGGCCCTTCTAAGCCCGTTGGTTTAATGTCTGGTCTATGGTGTTCTGGAGGTGCTTTCAACAAACCTTGTGGTCCATGCGGTAAGCCCATAGAGGCTCCCAAAGCGCCAAATGGCCCCCCAAGTGGCCCTAAAGCACCCATTGGCTGAGGTGGACCTCCCGGTACCTGTTGCACATGTATTTGTTGCTGTTGACAAAGGGCAAAAATAAAAAATTCAATTGGTTCTGATTTTCACCTCGTCAGAGGGGTGGTATAAATGTCGGGAACACATAATGCAAATTAACTTTTTGTTGAAAAGCTCGCAGCATACATCAACATAATGGTGTCGTTAAAAATGACATTAAAAACAGTCTTTTTCAGATTTGACAGCAGATAACATGACAATTAAGCGGCACAAAATGTATGATGGTTTACAGTCGGACAAAACACAAAATGATGTCGAAAGCCGTATGCGATTTAGCACAATAGGCAATTATGAGTGGTCGAAACCAATGCGCAAATTGGAATAAAAACAAAAAACGAGAATACTTATCAGTGGATGTTAACTTACAAAAAGTTGCTGCATTCCCTGATGATGTTGCTGCTGTATTTTGCAAAATTTTTTGTAAGGCGCAACCCATGTAATACACGCAGTATGCGGGAAAACAATTGAAACAAAATGTTATTCTGAGTTCAAAAATAACGTAAACAATATGTACTCTAATATTTTTTATATCTGCTGTCAAACCAATTCAGCTTTTTAACAATGTCTCATCTAATGACACTGGAAGCTTTTTGTGTGTTTAATCTCACTGTATCGCTAAATTTACAAGATTCATACTTACCCCTATAATAAGATTTAAGTCCTGCATGGTTACTTGTTTCGCGCGCTCTACCGCCTGTAAGACCTGCTGCTGATGGTCGGCTTGTAAAAAGGGCAGCAATTGGTTAATAAGTGTGTTTAAGCGTTTTGCAATTTCCGTCTACATTGTAAATAAAAAAATTATATCAGTGACTTCCGCACTTTTGCATATTTTTATATACATATATTCTATATTAATGTTACCTGTTTATGCATTTCAACATTTAGTCCGTAAGACATCTCATAGTACTGGGAATGTAGAAAATCATTAGAAACTATATGGATTTTCAAATAAAAAAAAATTGTGTATCTCTTACCATTACGTAATGACGTTGCATTTCGGTCTTTTCATTTGCCAATTTTTCACACTCCAATTTTAGTCTGCGAATAAAAAACACGTACAAGTCGAATAATAGAAATTATTTAAAGTCAAATAACTAGAATAGATTAGCAGACTTTAAAACTCTTTTATCATTTATTTAAATATTTAATTAAATGAAAAACTTTACTCTTCACATCTAAAATATATTATATTATTTATTGTCCCTAGGGAAACAATGTCTGTCTGGCTGGATGGTGCGATTTAATCCAAACTTTGCACATCATTATATTTTTAATAATTTTACGAAATCTAGCGGGTATACGCAGATGCAGCCCATTCCTTCTGGTACCTCCCCAGGAATAAACGGGTAGAATGTACATATTCATTTCATTAGTCCTGATTTATATTAGGCGAATTTACTTGCGGCAATTTTCATCGTTCTCTTTTGAGCTTCATTCGTCTATACAAGGCAAGTCGATTTCAAAAATATTTTTTTGATTGGTATTTCAAACTACAAACTACTACAAACAAAATACACAAAACGAATTGAAAGAAAATTGCGGTACGAGCAATTTTGTTCAATTTCTATTCCTCTTGCCGTTCTCTCCTTCAAGCAAAGACTTGCCGCAATTAAACTCGCCTAATAAAAATTGGGACTTACATAACTAAAAACTAATATATGATTTTTGAAGACATCATGAGTTAACATGGATATTAATGTCAGATAATATAAATCATATTTTTGATATGAGATTGAAAAAAAAAATGTTTCGAAAAAATAAAAAGTAATTAGCCAAGTTACTATAGTCAGAGGAGAATTCATATTTAAGTTTATTTAAATTTGATATAAAAATTAAACAAAAAGTTGTAAACAAAAAAGAGCGAACAACATTGTTCAAATGCCCGTAGAAACTCGAAGATTCAAATAAACATATACTGAATATGTATGAATCTCAATCCAAGTTTCGTCTGTTTGTTTATTGAACGTTTAAGGCTCGAACCTAAATCCTAAATACACAGCGCAAAATGTAAAGTTGTAGCTACCATTTAACACTTCCCATCAATTTAATTCCGAAAAAAAATCACCGATTTTTTTATTGCTAAAAATTTTGATTTTGAATTCTAACATGTTCATGAGCAGATAATTAAAAATCTTTTAAAATCGACGTGTTCGCTAATTATTTTTTATGCATAATCGGTATCATTGAAGACTTTTGTGTTGAGGAATGAATTTGTATACATAAATGCTGTGTTCAAAGAAAATAAAAAAAAAACACATTTTTTCGTTATTTTAGCTAAAATACAAAATATGTAATATTATTAGACAAGCTATTTCAAGAAATCCCTAGTCTTTGACTCTAGACTAGCTTAAAGAAAATTAAGGAAAAACAATATATTCTCATCATTGTTTTGTTCTGACGATATGCTCCATAGATATCTTCATTTGAGAAAGAGCAAGCGTAAGCTACCTAGAGTAAAAACATTATAAACTGGTTTTGGATGCTGTTGATGTTTCTACTTAAGCCGTTTCTTTTGCCCATTAAGAAGAACGACCGCGAATACAACAACAGTAAATCATACAGAAGAGCCTTTAAAAAACAATTATAGGTTCTCAGTTCGCGCCATGTGTACATGTTGTATGGAGGAGAGCAGTTGTGAGTGTGTGTTTGTTGTGTCTGTGTGTATTTACTTAATTCCCCAACATTCGTGTTTTTCAATAACATCCATTTCATCAAATGGCAAGAAGCGCTTTGCTTTCTGATTTATCATAAGAAGACGATGGACAGAAGTGTGCTTTGGTTTGGTTTCGTTGTTTTGATGTTTTTGCTCAACTCCTCGCTCTCTTTGTGTGGCCACTACGTGAATGTTGTGAAGAGAAAAAGGTGTATGTATGATGAGTGCGCCATATAATTGTCCCTACATAAGAGATCCTTGATTTGCAACGGGAAAGAATCATCGCTAATCACAACAATCGCACACACACAAACGCACACATATACCAACTCACATTTGACACAGTTTTCTTTGAATTGTGCCTTTCTTACACGGCGGCGTCTAGAGAAACCCACGAAGAAAAAGCCAAACAGAAAATACTTGTTTTGTGTTAAGGGATTGAGTCTGTTGTTGTGTGTGTGTAAATACAGTGAATGAGGAATGATCACGGCCGGAGTAAATTTCTGTTTTTTTACCTTTGTCCCTATTACTTTGTGATAGTAAAAGCAGAATATTGCGAAAACCATCCTGAGAAACAATTGCCTGCAGAACACATAATTAAACAAGATTTTTCGAAACTACTTCTAAACTTGTATAAAAAATATATTCACGATGGTTTAGTTACAATGACAATTTGCAGGAGCTCAGCTGTTGTACATTTTATGTCAAATGTAAATATTTGCTTTTGAAGTACCTATATTAGATTATCAAGTGTGAGCCTAACTCAACATTTAATGCTATAGAAATGGTGATGTACTTACGTGTGATACTGAGCCTGCAAAAAATTGAATTCCTCTTTGATGCGTTCCAGAGTGTCCACTATAGTGAATTTAAGAGGTCCTTGTGGTGGCGGGCCCTGTGTAATGAGTTATCCAAAGTTTATCACGGAAAGGGTGTGTTGTGGTAGATGAGAAAGCACAAGACAGACGCACGCACACACATGAAAAATGTGAAAAAGGAAAATTGCAAGTTATAAATCTAGACTCAAATTGTTGAGAAAATAAATGTGATTTAGATTTTTACATGAATGGGTGGCATAGTGGGAGTTGGGGTAGTGTGATTAGCAGTAGATGAGTGGGTGCTGAGGTGAAGTGAGTGAGTTTTTACCGTTTGCATATCACTTACCCCCGCCGAAGGGTGCCGCACCGGTGCAGGATACATTTTTCCGTTTGTGCAGAGCTATATTCCTCACAATCCTACTGAATAAATTTTGCGACGGCAATTATTTCCCCGAAAAAGGTGATGTCGCCTGTTTGGTTAAACAGGAAGCGTACAATTTAACGCGTTTACAATGAGGGGGCAGTGGAGTCGCTTGTAACAATCTGTAAAAAAAATTGTTTAAAAACACGCCATAACACTCAGAAAATCTAACATCTCGACGAACCTCCACACCTCCCGGAAAAGTATTTCCGTAAAAGTTCTTTTTTCCAACTTCTTCTTCTTGCTATTCTTAAAGGCTTCGACGGAAGCGTATGTCGTCGGCCTGTCGTTTTATGTTGCAGAGAAGTCACTAAAGTTGTGTCTGGTTACCGCCGTCGTCGTCGTTAGTCTTCTTCTTCTTAATATTCGCCTCTTTCCAACCAAAGGCAACTCCTCTGTCCATGTAGCGATGATGTTTCTTACAATGCTTTTTCAGCTGCTGTTCTGCTGCCTGCCCACTTTTCGTCGCTTTTTCTTCTCGCGTGTTTTCGATACTTTCGCCACTTTACAAACCCAAATATTCACAATAATCGCAGCACCAATCACTTATCTATTTTATTTTGCATATTTGCATTAAATTTCAGATGTTTCTTCACATTCAATCGGATTTTTATTATTTTGCACAATTTTTCGCGTGTGCGCAATCACAACCAAGCTTCTATTTTTTGTCGTCGTCGTCTTTGTTCGTTCTCTTCTTAATATTTTCTACTTCGTTGTCCAACTTCACAATGGCGGATTTTCACATGCGTATATTTGCAAAAAATTTCAACACAACGACCGATATTTCACTACTTCCGTAATTCTTCGGCGCAATTGTGAATTTTCACATGGAAGATTATCCACTTTTCCATCTTTATCTCAGTACACATCAAAAATTTGCAAGCGATTTAATTTCTCTCCAAATAAAAACGACTGAATTTTTCCTGGTAACGCCGAATGACGCTGAAAGCGAAAATGATAAATGAGTAGGGATATAAAAGTCGATATTCGACTTATCGGTTTATCGACGATTTAGCCCCATTTTGATCATCATTCTAATTTGTTAGTTCCGTTCTGGCACGCATTTTCTTATGTACCATTGTGTGAACGTATACGTGAGCAATAATTGCATGGAATTTCCATGGCGCATCCAGTTCAATTGTTCATATGATTTCTTAGCTTTCTATTTCTAATAACGTTCAATTTGTATATTTGGAATCTATGTATTTTTTTATTTTGCTAAAAGTATGCCAATCGGCATATTTTCTTTACAATATATTTTTCAATATACAGTATTTTTCGGTTAATTGACCCTACGGTTAATTGGTTTCCACGCTTAATTGAACCACATGATGGGTCAAAAATATTACATTTCATAGTAAGCGGGCTCGGATAATTGGTTCCTCGGTTAATTGAACAAAAATTTGTGCAAATTTTGATGTGCAATTAACCGAAAAATACTGTATTTGAAATTGATGTCGAGTTATGCCATGTACAGACGGACGTTGTTCGCTCTCTCATGCGTTGTTAGAATGTTCGCGTTAAAGGGCTAAGCAGAATGCTCCCGTTGAGCCATCCGTCGCGTTATATGTTTTCGAAAATACAACAACCACAAGGAAACGATATGCGTTTATGTTATCGTTTCCTTATGGTTGTTGTATTTTCGATAACATATAACGCGACGGATGGCTCAACGCGGGCATTCTGCGTAGCCCTTTAAAGGCTCTGCACAGTGATCGCGTAACGCAGACATTCTGCTCAGCAATGAGTTTTCTGATAATGGAAAATTTATTTAATTTGAATTGGAACATCTTTATTAATTTATTAATACGAGTTTTCTGATAATGGAAAATTTATTTAATTTTAATTGGAATAAAGATAAATAAATAAAGATTTATTTATTAAAAGTCTTAAAAAAAACATAAATTTTTTCGATAACATATAACGCGACGGATGGCTCAACGCGAGCATTCTGCTTAGCCCGTAACGCGCATAAAAAGTTGAAATATATTTATCTCCGAAGCGCAACGCACATCAACTTTGAAGGGCTAAATAGAATGTTCGCGTTGAGCTTTTTTGTTATCGCGTTAACGCACGCAAAAAGTTAAAATATATTTAACTTCAAAGCGCAGCGCACATCAACTTCATGCGTTAGTGTTATCGTTTCCTTGTGGTTGTTGTATTTTCGATAACTCAAAACGCAACGGATGTCTCAACGCGAACATTCTGCTTAGCCCAAGATCTATTAATAAGGTCACCAAGATAGCAATCCAAATCGGAAAACAGCTGTTTTTTCTCAAGTCTAATGTCAAAAATTTCGACTTTGTTTAAGTTTTCATAATGGTGACCATATTAATAGATCTTGGGCTTATGCCATGTACAGACGAGCGTTGTTCGCTCTCTCATTCGTTGTTCGACCCTTAATTATGAAGTAATTACTTAGTTCCCCATACAAAATTGTCTGAGCGAACACCGACTTTTGTACGTTGTTCAATTCGAATCACTCTCTGAATAACCAATAAATTTGCCCCATCCCTAACAATTGAGAGTATTTATCGAAAATAAATTAATTTTGACAGTTTGAAAATATTTATGAAATTTTCAAACTTTTTCAGTAAAATTGAAAATCATGAATGAAAAGTAAAAAATTGTAGAGTTTTTATATATGCAGCAGGATGTAAATTTTGTTTTCTATATAATGCAATATGCATTTCTTTTCCCTTGGTTCTAATTAGCGTACAAAACAAGAAACAAATGTGGGGCAACTCAAACAAAAAATTCTCCAAATTTGTATATGTGACAGTATGTGAAATTTGAATTGAGAAAATATAAAAATGTATTAAAAACAACAACATTTTCAGAAAAAATGGAAAACATGAATGAAAAGTAAATAGATATGGGTTCATACTATATTCAGGAGAAAGAGAATTATTTTTTCTATTTAGATCCCTATGTAATTCACTAAAATATGTTATATTTTTGGTGTAAAACAAGAAACAAAAAGTTTGAAATTAAAAACTCTGATGACATGAATTATGAATAGTGTTGTATGAACGGGTTAATTCATGTACGTAATTCTGAGAGCGAACTACGTTGTTCGGATGACCGTCAGAACATGGCATTAGCCCTTGAGCGTTTGTGCTATCGCTTCCTTGTGGAAACGATAACACAAACGCATATCGTTTCCTTGTGGTTGTTGTATTTTCGATAACAAATAAGGCGACGGATGTCTCAACGCGAACATTCTGCTTAGCCCTTTAAAGGCTCTGCACAGTGATCGCGAAACGCAGACATTCTGCTCAGCTATGAGTTTTCTGATAATGGAAAATTTATTTTATTTGAATTGGAACATATTTATTTATTAATATGAGTTTTCTGATAATGGAAAATTTATTTAATTTGAATTGGAATAAAGATAAATAAATAAAAATTTATTTATTAAAAGTCTTAAAAAAACATAAATTTTCTGTTATGTGTCAATTTACTTACTTTTGTAAAAAAGGTACATACTCAACATCCGTAAACCAAGGACAAATATTGGTGGTAAAATCAAACGAACAAATTTCACCAAAAAACACAGCTGCTTTACAAAATGTTTTGTTTCCGTTTAGATTTGTAGGAAAGCTTAAATGATATAAAATCAAATATATGGGACATTGCATAGTCAAAAGCACGGCATAATTATGCTATGGTAAAAGCATTAAGTGATGTTAATTATTTAAATAGGTATGCTTACTTGACGAAATAAAAAAAAAAATTAGTATAGTGTAATGTCTTATTAAGTCACATTGTTTTTTATTTGGGATATTTTTACAATTTTATTAAATCAGGAAATTATCGCGAAAAATGAATGGAATGTCAAGTTTTCACAATATGGGGTTGCAAATGTAATTAACATCAACGTACAATAACAAGAGGTAGGATAACTTGACAAAATTAACAAAAACTGTAGTCTAGTGTAATGCCTTACAGTGTCAATTTATATATAAACATATTCAAGAGGTTGTTTTGTTTATTTGACATATTTTTACAATTTTATAAAATGGGGAAAATATCGCGAAAAATTAATGAAATTGGGATACGAGCTTGCAAATATAATTATAATAAGAATTCTTCTCAATACTCCGAAAGTTTATTTCTGAGTGCTGTAATGTTGAATTTTAATTACAACTGAATTTGAAAAAATTTTTAATTTTGTTAATATTGTTCAAGACATTACAAACACATTTACAAATTGAGTAATTATTTTGACAGAACAGGGGCACACGAAAGAAAAAATTGTAATCAACAGGTACCATTAACCTACCTGATGTTATTATACCATGGGTGATATGAAAGCTACAGAATTTAATACAGTTGCATCCATAAAAAAACTAAAAAACAAAGCATTAGTCTAGCATGTAATTAAAAGTCATATTGATAGTTCATGGCTGTTAGGCAGTGAACAGAATAAGCCTGACACTCTAACATGGCAAAAACTAAGACCTTATGCTGGTAGAAGAAATCCGCTAGCTGTGTTTTACCTTATCTAATAATTCAAACCCCAGTTTAAAATCGAAAAATCATGAAAAACTTTAAAAAATCATTCTTAAATACTATACCATTTTCAATGAACATACAATTGGTTAATTTTTGATGACTGTGAGAATATAACCTTGAGAAGTCATCCAATTATAAAGAGTTGTTTCTTGAGTTGTTTTATGAAGAGTTGTTTGTTTTTCCTTTGACTATTTTCCTATCATATAGTGTTGGTCGAATTAATAACAAGTTCTAAACCCAGTGAAAAATGCTTTGGAAATGTTTTAGTGCTGCAAAATGTAATAGACCAGCATTTTATCACTATTTTGTTAATAATAAACTGTTCTTAACAATACAAGTTGTACTTCCTGAATATATGTATTTACACACAAAAAAACGTCAATTTACATGAAAGTAGAATGGAGTTCACCCCTAAGAGGAAGTGTGTATGTGTAGTTTGTGACTATAAAGTGGAATGTATAACAAATAATTCTATTGGGCAGTAGACCAC